CCCGCGGGGGCGCCGCGTGTGGCCGCGGCGGCAGGCGGCTGTGCCCGTGGGGCCCGGGGCGCCGCCATCTCCCCGGGCCGGGGTGCGTGTCCGCCCTAAACAATAGCTCGGGCTGTCGAGCGGCTCGCGGCCCTGCGCCGCGGCCACCCAGGCCTCAGTAATAGATTTCTCCAATTAGCGCTGTCAGATACGACGCAAGATCAAAACCCAAATTAATGAAGACTAATGGTAGTTGTTTTATTGACCTACTCTCCTTCAGATACAAGTGCAAATCACGCTGTCCTCAAGAGAAACGAGCGGGCAACCGTGAGCCCAGGCCTCCTTTCAATGGCAGCTGTGGGAGCACAACTGCAGGGTTTGGCTTGTGGGTAGCTTAGCCTCGCTCGCTCGAATGAGGGGAAGTCACAGCAGGTTGAGTGACACGGCCTGAACACCCCGCTCCCCTTCTGTTGCCATATGGATTACATATAAATCTGCTGGACATKGGTCTGGATGAGACTTGGTCCTGCTTCCAGGGAAGCCAACGGCAGGTTGGGCCCTATTGGACTAGTGTCCCTTGCAGGTCATGTTCCTGCCTGCTTCACATCACACACCATAAGGGTATACCCAGGTAAGGAGTGTGAGTGACAGCTCCAAGAGGAACAAAACAGCTCATTGTTGATGGACAACTGCAGAGCCAAAAGGCTTCTTTTCTCCTCTCCCATTCATTCCCAGTAAGTCCCGTAAAAAAGCACCAATTTTTATATCATGCATTTGCCATTTAGCTTGGAAATCTAATTGTCAAAGTCTGACGTTTTCTTTCTTCTAAATTAAAATAATGGAGGAGGTAAGGGGTAATTAATGTGCTCACCCCGGGGTGTGCGATCTACGTAAGTGGTACACGTTTTAAAAGTCTAAATGGACTTTTTCATCGTGTCTCTGTGGGACTGCTGCTTCCCCCTCCCTTTCTGGAGCTGGTCAACAGAAATGAGAAAGCAACTTTTCATTSACACAGGAAAGGCCAGAGCTACCCTCACAGACAGCACCCTCTCGAGCCCCTCATAAAATGAATATTTCACAACATCTATTTTAATTGAGGCAGAAATAATGAATTTATGCTATGTTAATGCATATTAATGGCAACTTTAGGAAGGGGTAGATGTGCTCATGAATATGCCCATTCATCCCCCCAGCCCTTTCTGGGCGGGTAAATACAGTTTTGCTGCCTGCCACGTTCTGTACAATGCCCAGCTTTTGTTGCTGGCCGCGCAGCGGCCCCGCCAGCGCCGGCGCTTGCGGAAGGTGGACAAAGTTCTGGCTCTTCTCCCTACCTGCCACGGACGGCACTGAGATGTGCCCCTCTGCGTGTCATTCTGCTCTTTGTGCCTCCAGCCCGAGTGACTCTTAATTGCAATTATTGTTCTTGACCTGTAAGTCACTACATGAGGAATTACGAGAAATGCAACTTCCCTAGCGCTAACTTTTCCCAAGCCATTCTGAGCGCGCTCTCTGTCAGCTTTGCACAATAGGATTGCGAATGTCAAACGCTGCAGATAATGTTCCTGCTTAGAAATGTACTGGCTTGCAGGGCTGCCACAGATGTATTATTCAGCAAAAGTGTAGTTACTCATTGTTTTGCGGTTTTATGCTAAGAACTGTGTGACATTTTATGAAACACTAACAAAATCTCAGTCAATTAGATTTAAAGCACAGACATTCTAATAAAACATATATAACTAACTCCCTGTAATGTCTTTGAACTATTTCTTTTCCCCAGTCTGCATTGTGTACACTGCCAATTGATATATGAATGCTAAACAGAGGACTAAACTGAATAGCTCTTATAATGGAAACTATTATCAAGCAGAGAAAGAAAAAGTACAATAAAAGCTGAGGGAACTGGAAACATTTCCACTGGTACCTGGGTCTACACAGAGATGTGCTGACAGGTTTCTCCAGCACCTGGAAATATAGATTTTGCCCAGTTTTGTTTACCAACTTCAGCCTTATTTCCCCTGGATGTTCAAGGAGAAGCCTAGAGCCAGCGCAGAAGAAGCGGCCCGTGTAACGTGGAGTACGCTTAGTAACGCTCCCASCTCCCCAGACATGGGGTTGCCCGAGTTGCCGAACACAAGCTTGTTTACACAGTTTATTTTCTTAATTACATAAGAAGCAGTGGTTTAACTTGAACTTCTCAGGCAACGATTTGCCAGCTCTACATGCTGAATGCAAGTTCCCATAAGAAAATTAAAATGTTTATCTGCCTAACATAACTTGTAAATGAACTCATTTTTCTCTGCTGCTTTTTTGTATTTTGTGCATTGTAGGCCCTAGCAATGATATTAGTTCTAGTGTGGGAAAATATTATAATTGAGATCTGGTAAGTTATTTGCAGACTTCAAGTTTTTCTTTACACTGTGCTGACATTTAGTACAGCCCCGGTGAGGAAAACAATACTGCCATTCATGGCTCTAGACGTAGATTTCAATCGACTTAAGCGGGCACAATGAAACTTGGTCATTCACTGGTTACCCATATTGTGTTCTCAAATTTTCTCTCAGCAAAAGTATAATGACTCAGTATTGTATGGTTGCATAGACAAGGGCTCAGAACAAGAGACACTAGTTTTGTCTGACGGTGTGAGAAAGTCGTGAAGGGATCTTTTCTTCCAGATGGTGTTAAATTCAGCTGCCTTTTTAACATTGGCCTTGCACAGCAATCTGCTGCTCCCTTTTCACAAAGCGGCAGCCTGGGTTCCTGCTAGTTAACATGCATACTCACGCAACCTGCAACTTCACTCCAACTGTTTTACAATGCAGTGGTATGCTAAATAAACTTGAGCTGGCTTCTCCCAGTGCTAAAACTGGCCTTCAAAGGACTGCTCAACTGATATTTACCCTCCTTTTAACATCAAGCCGTACATATATGTATATACATTTAGACAGTTCTATAAAACGTTATAGGTAAATGATTTTATACAGCATGATTGGCTGCGTGAGTCCCTTACAACRTAAGCTTGGAGGACCGGTTGGCACATCTTAGCAAGTGCCAACGTTACATGTGCGGGATAAAAGGGGGAAGGAATGGGACATTCTGCTTCGAAGCGGTGGGGGAGGGACAATAATAATTGATAATGATAAAAATAATATCCAAATGCACTTTATTGATCGATAGTCAGGTAACATTAGTAG